AAAAAAAAAGAATGATGGTGTTGCAAGTGTATTTGTGTATATGCGTGTTCTCTGTTTAGCAGTTCCTCACATCACTGTCTAGTGTTCTGGGCCGGGGCACTTTGGGAGGCCAAAGCAGGATTGCCTGAGTCCAGGAGTTCAGGATGATTACCCAGTGATCATCTATCCATCCTCACCCTCGGCCTTGAGTTTCCCCACAATACCCAGACAACACTACCCACACAGAGGGGATGGTTCCTGATTCAATGACCTTAGGATGGAATTTTCCAATCACAAGACTCATGAGAGATAAAGGCGAGCCACATGACCAGGAAAAGGCTGGCTGGGCCGAGGAGGAGTCAGAGACATAAAAGGTGCTGAGACAGGTAAATGAGCCTAATTCACGCCATGGACCTGTCACACCAGGGGCCCAGCTATCCCTAGAAGCAGAGACTACTCTTTACCAATGTATTCTACCTGAATTCCTCCATTTGACATATGCAAACTCCATCTAAGGGCTCAGGGCTGAAATGCCCTTTCTGAGGCCTACCAGACATTCTCACATGTGTAATTCACTAACAGGCATCTGACTGATTCTCAAACCGCCCTATGAGGGAATCTCCAATGCAGAGATGAAGAAACAGAGCCTCAGAGTTATTAATTTGCTTGATGTTACTGGACCTGTAAGGTGGTGAACAGGACTCAAAACTAGGCCTGCTCCAAGACCAGTCTGGAACATCAGCCAATTCTGCGCTATTCCCACACTGGGTGGGAACCCTGGAAGGACCAAAACCAAGTTGGGGGACAGTGAGAGTGGAAAAGAAGGTCCTAAACACAGGCTGATGGAACACGGGTCTGATTGAGGAAGGCTTTAACAAAAAGTTACCATTTTTCACATATCAGATGAACAAACATTAAAAAGTTTGAAAGTATCTTCTGTTAGCAAGGCTGAGAAGACAAAGGTATATATATATTCCTGTTGGAGTGTAAACAGGTACTACCTGTGAAAATCACAATGTATCCTTTGGCTCAGCAATTTTGCTTCTAGGAGTTCACTGAACAGGAACACTTGTATAGAACTAAAAGACCACATATGTAAGGCTATTTATGAAAACACTAAACTCCAAAGTTCACTGAATACAGGGCTAATTAAGTAAATGAAGGTTCATTCATACAATAGGAAAAAAAAAAAAAGAACGGGGCAGCACCTGTGGCTCAGTGGGTAGTGTGCTGGCCTCATATACCGAGGGTGGCGGGTTCAAACCTGGTCCTGGCCAAACTGCAACAAAAAAGCAGCCGGAGGTTGTGGCAGGGTGCCTGTAGTCACAGCTACTTGGGAGTCTGAGGCAAAAGAATCACCTAAGCCCAAGAGTAGGAGGTTGCTGTGAGCTGTGATGCCACAGGGCTCTACTGAGGGTGATAAAGTGAGACTCTGTCTCTA